AATCTAGCACAAGATGGCTAACTGTAAGTACAAGCTAGCTTCTCTTATTAGCTCCTGAAACAAATAAGCAACAGCCCGGCCCAGCAGCACTGGGATGGAGACAACTGTCACCATCCTAAAACAATTGTTCAAGTCTAACGTTTGCAAAACTGAGTTATGTGTCTATTTTAGGAGGGGGTCGCTATAATGGAACACCACAAGCTGGAGAATAGATTGACAAATATGTTTATTCAAACTATAAAAAAACTAATACTAGAACTAATGAAAACTAGCCTGGTAAAAACCAGACCCTTGTCCTTCACTTTGCTTCATATGAGGGTCTGGACTCTCGGCTATAGAGAAGTGATTCTTGCTGGAGGCGTGGCCTCTGTTGAATTTTAAAAYGATTGGATCGGTTAGTCGCTGTGAAGGARGCTAAGCTAAGAAGCTAACTGGAAATCGTGTGCGCTGTAAACAACCCTAMTGAGAGGAGAAGTATCGAGCCGAACAAGACGACTGTAMATGAGAGCTGCTGCTTTGTCARACAAATTTAWTTTAATATGGAAGCCTTATCAACACRGACTGGCTTCATTCACTTCCTCCACTGCCGTATGCTAAACTAACTAGAAGACACTGCGCAGAAAAATGACGTTTAAAACTCTGCCTTCTGTTTGCTGATTGGCCCAGGTGAAATAAACTACAAGCAGACACTGCTCAAAAAAAAAAAAAAAATCGACGTTCTGTTCTCTGATTGGCCCAGACGAAAATTCTCCTGAAGAAATCCCAGACGGAGCAGTGAAGGGAAACTAGAATTAAGTGGAACTGTGTAGGAAGGCAAAGGCCAGGCTAAATGAAAACTAAACTAAACTAAACAAAAACGAGATAAACTGAAGAGTTACGACACTTTGTTCTCCTCAAAGATCTGATCTAAAGGCAGCCCTGAGAGAGCGAGGCTGAGGTCAAAGGTCACTGCTGTGACTGACAGGAGGTCAGAAGCAGGAAATGAAGCAACAAACCCTGATAATGAGAGGCGTTCTGAGAGCTGGATGTGGTGTGACACACAGTCGATCTGCTCCTGACAGGAAATCAATCGTCTGGATTCACAACTTTCATCAGATCTTTGTGTTTTCAGAACGAGCTCTGATGATGATGATGATGATGATGATGAGCAGGTGTTTGTTAGCTTTACAGCAGATAGAAGATTTATAATAAACTGTAGGTTTACTCACTTTGCAGAAGAGATGATGAGCGATGAGTCTTTGTAGGCGATTAAATAACTCTGGTTCTCCGGGTTGTGAACCGTCACCTGATGAAGACAAACACACGGTGGTGCAGCGTGAACGCAGACGCTTCCACACTCCTGGACYCTAACCTGTGTGTGACATACTTACGCTCTCTAACACCCGTAAACACCTCTCAGCTCCCCACAGCGAGGAGCCCAGCTTCTCCTCCTCCTCGTGGTTCAGACTGTCCACGCACTCCTTCACTGTGGAGACAAACAAACCTCAGTGGGCGCTCAGAACGCCGCAGCGTCAGCAGCTTCTCTGAGTAAAGACCTTTGTCCACGATGTGGTCCAGTCCTCCCAGCAGCCTCAGCTCCTCCTTGAACCAGTCTCCTGCTCGCTTCGAGGTCAGAGACAGCAGCGTCTCCATGGCCAAGTGTCCCGTCTGCAGACAGAGAGGGAGGAGAACATCCTGACATGTGGTTGGAATATTTTRAAGACGCGACGCAGCGGCACCTCTGCAGAACCTAAAGCCGGTACCGTTATGTTCTGCAGGTCCAGGTGCTTGTTGTGCACGGTGTCGCACAGCTTCCTGATCTTCTCCTTGATCTTGGCGAGTTCTCTGGCGCTGAACTGAACGCTGGAGTCCGCCCCCGGCGCCGCCCCGCCTCCCTGATCCTGGTCCAGCTCCAGGAGGCGGATCATCAGGTCCAGGCAGGACCGGTCCAGGTCCATGTTCAGCCTGTCCCTGCTCAGGATGTACATGAGTGACGCCGTGCACAGAGCTAGGTTCTGCAGAGGTGGAAAGGACGAAGGAATCTGGTTTCAGTCCAGGATTAAACACATCAAACCAGGGTTCAATTCAAAGTTCAATTTAAGACTGTTTAACGCCAAGTGAAATTAAAATTAAGACTTTTTTATGCCAAGTGAAGTTAAATTTAAGACTTTTAATGCCAAGTGAAGTTAAATTTAAGACTTTTTAATACCAAGTGAAGTTAAATTTAAGACTTTTAATGCCAAGTGAAGTTAAATTTAAGACTTTTTAATGCCAAGTGAAGTTAAATTTAAGACTTTAAGACTTTTAATGCCAAGTGAAGTTAAATTTAAGACTTTAAGACTTTTAATGCCAAGTGAAGTTAAATTTAAGACTTTAAGACTTTTAATGCCAAGTGAAGTTAAATTTAAGACTTTAAGACTTTTAATGCCAAGTGAAGTTAAATTGAAGACTTTTTAATGCCAAGTGAAGTTAAATTGAAGACTTTTTAATGCCAAGTGAAGTTAAATTTAAGACTTTTTAATGCCAAGTGAAGATAAATTTAAGACTTTTTAATGCCAAGTGAAATTAAATTTAAGACTTTTAATGCCAAGTGAAGTTTAATAAGACTTTTTAATGCCAAGTGAAGTTTAATAAGACTTTTTAATGCCAAGTGAAATTAAATTTAAGACTTTTTAAGGCCAAGTGAAATTAAATTTAAGATCAATTTCATAACAAACTCAAATGACAAAAAAATAAATAAAAACTGTGGTAGAAACTCATGATTCAAAGTATTTTTGGTTGAAGTATTAAAATATTGCTAATAGACCAATTGTTTTTATCCATATCCAACTATAGCAGAAACATTCTTAGCAGTCAGTTTTAAACTTTATTTAATTTATGGAAATCCTCTAATGACACAAAATCTGGAGTTTTAGGACCCACAGAGGGGTCTTAACCCCAAGTTGCTGTAGATGAAACCTTAAAGTGCCTGTGACGTCAATTTTTTGTAAGAAAAGTGAATGCTTTTTTGGAACGACAACATTATGAACTTATTAGAAAATAAATTTTACGTTGCTCAATGAACAGATGTTGAGATATTTGCATGTGATATAAAAAAATATTACCAATTATTTTAATATTTGAGATAAATTACAATCATCCTACTTAAGTGTTCACATTTTTAAGACTTCTGAAAGATTGATTTAAGACATTTTCAGGCTAATTAAGGCCTTATTTTTGGATTGCTGAATTCAATGACTTTTAAGACTTTTGAAGGACCTGMAGGAACCCTGTCAAACACTGAAACTAAGGAGCAGTTCCACTGATGGTTACCGGGTGCTGCGGGGCGTCGTTCAGCGTTTTGAAGACCTGAGCCACCTTCCCTCTGGCCCTGAGGTGCATCCTGAAGCTGGGCATGGCGCAGCGAGTCGCCAGGCTGATCACACTGAGGAACCAAACACCACCATTAGAAAGCAGCAGGAAGGAGCGCAGGAGCCCCGCCCCCAGCTGTCGAGACRGCGCGTMTCTYACCTGAGGCATCGTGTGTTTAGCGGCTGTCCCGTCTTCAAACCAGTAGCGAGGTACTCAAAGTCATCGGTAAACTCCTGGTTTTCTCCAAACTCCACCACRTCGTTGAAGTGCTTCACGTGCTGGACCACCGTGTACAGCTTTGACGGGAGGAGAGAAGTCGTAAAGTTACAGACGTAAGACCGCAGCAGGTTCTGACCACAMTAGGGCCSGGCAGAATCGTAGCGTGTGYGATTAATCATCAGAAAAACTGTTGCAGGTTTTTAAATTTTGGCATGATTAATACGGTTAGTGCTGCTGACTGCAGCTCCACAATCATATCATTTCATCATTTTGACTCAAAGACACTAAAACCTATTAAACTCACTCCCACCAAACTTCATTCAATWTTTGCATCTTTTTATTTTGATCTCCCTGTAAATTTTTTTGGTGGTTGACAAATAATTTCAGTCAGAAAGGAGTTTAGGGGTTTTATGTTAGTTCAGCGGGGTGTGTGTGTGTGTGTGTGTGTGTGAGACCAGAGGGTGGACTGAGGTGGGTTTTTTTTTTCATGAATTTGTCTTTCACTGCCTCCTGTTGCAACAGGCTTCAAATATGACGAACATTAAAAAAGTGCTGTGAATTATTTGATAACTCTGACTTTATTTTGTCTCAACACAATTTAAAAACTGCTGTATAGATTGAAGTTTGTACTTAGAGAGAGTGYATCTTTTCCACTTGAGTGATTTAAATCAGTCATGTGACCGGGGTCCAGGGACTCCAGGGGATACATCATCATAYTGTTACCAGCTAAACACCACAATTAATCATGATTATTTTTCCATCCTGACTGATTCAGGTCTATGTTAGGGTTAGAGAGACAGCTGCATGTGAGAAGGGTTTACCTCCTTGTGTTCTCTGTGACACTTGAGTGTAGTGACGGTGTCCTGGCAGGGGTCTGTGGGGACGGTGACACACTTCACGACTTTAGGAGGAGGTGGAGGAGCCTTAAAGACACCGTCGTCCTTCTGAGGGTCTGCCGTCTCCTTGCCRGAGCCACCTGTGGAGACGGATGCCTGGAGAGATGAAGAACAGCCGATGTAACAATCATTCCTCAGGTTTCCTCTGGGAGCGACACGGACCTAAAGCCCGGCCGGTTTGTGTTCTTACAGGAGCGGCGTGTGATCGGGAGAAGAGCGGCGGCGGCTCCTCTTCGCTCTCCATGGTCCAGTGTCGGGCGTTGTACACAGCTTTGGTGGGAGACTGAAACATGGACACAGARCACATGAACATGTCTGAAGCTAACTAATAAACCTAATTATTATCTTACACATTAGTTTATTTAAAACACACATGCTCATATGCTTTTATTTTTAGTGCRTTAACGGTCTAATTGCTGTTTAAATTTGTTCAATCTATTATTCTAGAAGTAAATGYCTTAAGCATTTCTTTAAGTWGCMTTGTCCTAATTTGCATTACTTAATGTTCATTTATTGACAACTGGTTGTTATTAGATTAACRCCCATATCCAAAATAAGACCTCGATGGAACATATGCGGCTCACGTTATCATAGTCGCAGGGGGCGAGGCTTATGCTTGTGATGTTTTGTTAAATTTTTGACATGTCTTTCTTTGATTATTGACTTATTGAGTCAGTTTGCACTGTTTTACATTGCACTTGTTCCTTTTACTTTGGTGTTGAGGCAGTTTATGGTTACTTTTATTATATAATTATTTCTTCCCTCTTTTAATCGATTAGTGACTAATCAAGAGGAGGGAGTGTGGTGGAAATATATTATATAATCCTGCCTAACTGCTAAGTTCACATTACCTTGACCTGCTCTGTTCTGTACCTCTCTCTGACAAACTGTCACATTTGTATAATCTGTTCTCATGATTCTTAAAGATGCCATCTGATGTCTACAGACTTTGTGCTCATTTCATATTGCCTGTGTAACTATTATTGGTCATTCGATACAGTTGTCTAATTTGTAATATTGTGATTGGCTGTTCACGGACTCCACCTGGAAGTATTTATTTGCATTTCCTGTCTGTTGCTAGTCCAACAGCTACGTGGTGGGACCTCTGATTCGGACCTCTGTGTCGCTGCTCATATTTGCATAAATGCAAACTTATTAAACCATTTCACGACCAAACCACGCAGTGCACCTTTCTTTTATTCATGTGTTTGTGCCTTAGTGGATATTTCCTAGGGCTGTGTATTGGCAAGAATTTGGCGATACGATACATATCATGACAGAGGGGTCACGATACGATAT